TTTCGGCCATGTGAGGATTGGACCATACATCTGTCTCCCCCGGTCACTACCAGCCGTAAGACGCAGTGTGCTATTATCAGCTACGAGCCTCGGAAGGCAAAAAAGTGGCTTTCCATAAAATTATTGTTTTTTTTGGATCTATTGAAAGTTTGAAGTCTTCTGCTTCATTTAAGATAAAAACAAACAACTATAATCAACTATAAACATTTTATTTTGATTTATTTTGGAGGTATGTGGGGTTTATTGTGAGCTTGGGTGACGAGATAAAGGAATTTTGACCTTGCTAGTGTGTAGCTGTGAGATTATTTATAGAACCATTCCCTCATGACCACCTTTGCTTCAACGTTCTTCATTCGCAACTATTTTTTACCCTTTTTCGAGCATGAATGGTGTGAAATGTAAACAACTTGTGGTCACTATGCACGACTGAGGGCTCCAATTGGTTAAAACAGTAACTTCTAGCTCACTTCAAGCTTATTTGCGTAAACAGCTGACTGTGTGGGCGTGCTCTGCTAGCTGTTATCGTCTGTAGACCTTTCAGTTTTATGCTTGGATGGACTTTAAAAATTCATTTTCATTGTGTTTTAGTGCTTTTAAAAGATTAATTAACCTTCCTTTAGATCTCTCAAAGCGGACTCCTTACCAAGAAGCCACCGAGACGGTCTATGTGCATGTGTGTGTATTTGTGTTGGTGTGTTTGTAAGTGTGTGTGTATGTGTGTCTGTGTGTGTGTGTGTGCTCTCACGTGTTTACGGTGTTATTGCAAACGTTTAATTAGGTAACGTAAACATTCATGGCCTACTGAGCGCGTGGTTTCGGTGAAATGAGGGTAATTCAGATCTCTGTTTCTTTGCTCTTTTGCAATAAAACACCAATTGCTGAACACTTTGAAAAAGTTCAGATTTTCTTCGTAACAATACTATTTGGAGCTGGAGAATCGCGGTCGAAATGCCAGGACGGCCAGTTCCAAATTGACACCCATGCATTTGAATGCTTTGCGGAAAGATTGATGATTGAATACCGTCTTTTCATTGGCAGAGAATTATACAGCACTGAGTGTGGTTTCCCGAGGTATATTTTTGGCCTTTGGCATTTGGATAGAAAACCTTGAAAAAAGCGTTTAAATTTTCAAAGATCATTTTCACATGAAATATGTAAAATACCGGCTAAAAAAGGTACCAATAGAAAAAACTGTTATTTTTTTATTAGAATAAAGTCATAGGATTGGAATTATTTTGCATAAATCCTTCTGAGAAACTACCGGGAGCACTCACTACACTACAGTATAGTGCCAACTCGCTCGCCACTGGGACCGGTGCGACGCCGGCCGCAGCACTGCTCGGTGTTTTTATTGAAATAACGACAGGTCATCGTGTTTGAGGCTACAGAATACTGATTTGTAATGGTCTCAGAGTCATGAAAAAAATTAGGCTTCATTTCTTTGTTATAGTGATTGTACTCTGTTAATGTAGAGATGTTTGGTGCACTTGGTACTCTTTTATTATCTGTCAAACATGGGGTCGCAGCCAGTTAGCGACTTCAGCAATAATCTTATTATTATGTTAAATTGAAATAGCTGCCATTCTCTTAATAATTGACTGAGAGGTAAAAGTATGGTACCAAAATTCACAAGAGACACAGGCCTTTCATATGAAACAGATGAATTTGACATACAGTGACTTTGAAAATTTAGTATCTGGTACCTAGTATAATGCCAACATTTTGTTGCATTTGACATGAAGTCCATTCTCGTGAAAATTTTGTTTTGTCTATAAGTTTTTTTCTGTTAATGAATGGTTTTCTACTTCTGTATGTTACCTTGTAGTGGCATAGCCAAGATAACTGCAAATTTTCAAGTCTCTATCTCAATTCTGAGACCCCCGTTGCTATGAAAACATGTTGCTCAACTTCGAAGGCCATTTTCTCCTTTTCATGTTTCCTCACCTCGCACAATTAAAAGCTCTGTATTTTCGTCAAATATTGTCAAATTTACTTCATTCTTTTTTTAATTGTAGGGAAAAGGAGATAGTTTTTAAAAATAATTTTAACTAAGTTTTTAAATTTCCTTCATATGACTGATATTGACTGGCACAGACTCAAATAAGCTATTTTAGAGCCAAATCTGCACATTGAAAAGATATTATGCGACGAAGATTCATCTGCGGCCATGGGAAAGAAACAAAAAAAAAAAATATATATATATATATTTTTAGAAAAATGTGGCATACCACTTTCTTGAACTGAATCGTAAAAATGTTCTTTTGACTGCTTGGCCAGTTCTGTCTTATGATGGCAGATGACCTCAGAAGCGCAGTTTCTGAAAGCATTTTCACTCAGGCATGAACACCAAAAAAAAAAAAAAAAGTAAGAATCTAGAAACAGGCAAAAAAGAAAAATGAATCGCACATGTCAGACTGCAAATTTACACAAAATCAGCCAAAACTTGAGACAAGTTTTGGAAGTGACACAAAAAAGCAATCCTTCCTCATCCATTCTCACTGTTTC